CTCCTCCTCCCTCCCTCCCTCCTCCCCCTCCTCCTCCTCCCTCCCTCCCTCCTCCTCCGCCTCCTCCTCCAGCACTGGCCTTAACTGAAAATGAAGAGGCTTTTGAAGTTAGGCCAAGATCACAGGAAAAATTTGGGCAAGAAGACTAGAGTACCGTTTACCATACATAGAAAAAAAAGAGAAAAGAGGTCACAATTTTGCAAAAAAGTATGCATATGTACCTATTTAAATGAATAGACATGTGAATGAGAAATAACTACTATATAATTTAAGTAGAAATAAAACACAGCTCCTCATAATTTTGAAAGCTGTGACCAGGTGACCTGTTCACTTTGATTTTTGATACATTCCCTTTGCAATGCCAGCTGGGAGGTTCCCAATTTCTCTTCTTCAACTTCTTTAGTTTTAAACCACCAGCCTTGGTGGGAAGTTCTTCACATACAGAACCCAGAAGTGACTGTTTGATGTCCCCAAGTTGATTGTCCACTGAATAGTATGACATGCCCTGACAAGGATTGTCAAGCTGAACCCTCTCCCACCGGATTTTACTATGTGTTTGCCCTGAGTTTAATTAATAGCCGAGCATTTTTGGTAAGACAGAACAGCTCACTGAGAGCATTTCCTCTGTAAAGTGAATGCATAATGTTCACAGATTTCCTAAAACGTCACCTCAGTTAAACTAATCCCCTGCTCCCTACTGCTTTAAAAAGGATGTAGGATTGAAGAGTTAACAACTGAGGTGACGTTTTAGGAAATCTGTGAACATTATGCATTCACTTTACAGAGGAAATGCTCTCAGTAAGCTGTTCTGTCTTACCAAAAATGCTCGGCTATTAATTAAACTCAGGGCAAACACATAGTAAAATCTGGTGGGAGAGGGTTCAGCTTTCCGTAACATAGATTGGAGCTCTTCCTCTAAAACCTTTCCTCATCATGCCTTTGAATGCTTGCTCTAAAACAGAGGTCAGGCATGTTTTTTCTGACAAGTTATGGAAAGCATGCAGAGCGCAGCTTCTGGAATTCTTTCCAATCCAACTGTAACAGGTCAGGGAAAGGAAGACCTGAAGCAGAGTAATTCCTACCCAACCTACTTATGTTTGGATGATTCCAGGAATACAGATACATTTTAACATGAGGAAAAAGGAGTAGATATTATTGTGCATATTATCCTCACCCTTTCTTTGGCAAGAGACAGCCAGTTATCTGGCAAATGGAGCTGCACTGGCACGGCCTTCAACAACAGAGGCTGTCGGGTGAGGCCCAATGCCCCATGTATTTGACTAGGAGGTCTTTATAGATTAAACATACTAGGTGACCCGTCATTCTTCTGTCTTACAATCCCTATGTAAAACACACTATTATCTCTCGGACCCCTGTACATTCTGTGATGTCCATTCATTGTTGCGCCAGAGATTTTTGAATAGCCCACTTGCAGTCACCACAGAGCCATTTTCCTCTCCCAGTTATGGAATTTAGATTGATTATCAGTCAAAACCGCCTAGCTGATTTTTAGGTGACAATGTCTTAACCGAAAACTTCCTATGTTATACCAGCAGTGGCTGTGTGTTGGAATGGGTCATCTAGGGGGTATGGGCAGGGGCGGGGCTGAATACATACCACGCTGCATCATGTGACTGGGAGGAGGGAGGGGGCTTAGAATGGAGGAATTGCCAATATTCCAAGCAGCTGTCCAACAGGGATGTGGGGGGGGGGCGGGGATTTTCACCCTCTTTTTTCTGTTGCCAAGAGGCGACTGTGTGGTGCAGTGGTTAAAGTGCTGGACTACGACTGGGCAGAGAGAAACAGGTTCTAGTTTTCCCTCAGCCATGGAAGCTCATTGGGTGACTTTAGGCCAGACACCCCCTCCTCAGCCCAAATGATTCAACTGGGCTATTGTTATGGGGAAAAATAGGAGGAAAAGAAATGTAAAATCATTTTCAGCTCCTGGAAGAAAGGCAGGATGTAAATCAAACAAAATTAGTTGGACAGCTGTATGCATCCGTAGTGTCCAAACAGTGGGCTGTTTACCCTGCTATAGTTTAAAAGAAAAAAAGAGACAGCCACATGCTACATATTTGATGTATTGTGTAGTTTGGCCCTCGGACCATCACTGCTGCAGCCAGCCCAAGAAATCTAATACGGAGTCTACAATGCAGCAGAATGAGGTGAAAGAGAGTTTCGTGTTGCAGGGGAGGAATCATATTTTTAAATGTTCTCCTATGTCAAAAGTTTTAAGAGAAATGGGGGAACTAGGTTTTAATAAATTATTCTTTATATGCTGTTTTTCTACCTGCAGGGAGCTTTATTTCCCCCTAGAAATTCAGTTAAAAATGATTAACTGCCATTCTGATGGTGGGCATTGAAATTTAGCACTTCAGGTTGTTGCATGGATTGGCAGCTTTGTGTGTGTGGGGGGGGTGGAGGCTAGAGACTGGATTTAAGGTGTTCCGGGGGGAAGGGTTGCCATTGGGCTGGATGACAAAATATCATGGACAATAGGGATGGACAATATGTCCATTTTGCTTTCTCCCCATTTGTTACTTTTGTGAATCTGCCAAGTTAGTTTTTTCTCAGTTTCTATTTTTCTGAACCTGTCAAGCTTGCTTCGTTGAATTTGAGATTTTTTTTTTTTTAAATCACACTGAAAACGATCTTATTTTGGTATATGGTGTATGGTTTTCCAAATATAGGCATTTTTCTGACAAAAAATACAGTGCTTGCAAACAGTTTTCTTAATATGTTTTTAAAATGTTATGACTATATGCATTTTTGTATAAACTTTTGCCTACTCTATTTTATCTTAATGGCAAACTGAATCGCAAAATTCAGAAAAGTGAGGATTTAAAATGATAATTAGATTCTGTCTCATATATTGGTTAAAAATACTAAATCACCTAGTATGCATTTAAATACTGTATAAGCTAAATAATTTTCCCTTCCACAATCTCTAATGGATAAATCTGTGTCTTGAGCAGAGCAAGGATCTTTCAAGGGAGAAGGAAGGATTGCAAGACTCCCCCCCACACACTTTTTTTTAGTTGTGTTAAGATTATTTTAAAAGTTACACAACAATGTTATGGTGATCACATGATCACGGAACAATGCAATGGTGGTAAACACCTTCCAGCTGTGAAGTGCCTGAATCTTGATCACAACTGCAGGGATGCTGCAATGGTTGTAAATGCAAGGACCAGTCTTAAAGTTATTTTTTCAGTGCTGTCATAACTTTGAACAGTCACTAAACAGGGCAGTAGTTAAGCGAGGACTACCTGTATATGTATGTGAACTTATAATTAGGAGACTATCCATACGTGGGCTGTAAGACTCCAGTAACCACTAGATGGCAGCAAAGGGTTACAGAAAATTCCAATTCTTTGTTGCCCTCTAGTAACTGTTCTGACTTTACACTCCATCTAGGATAGCATTTAGGTGTGCAACCATTTGCTACCCAGATGCTCGTGCCTTTATCATCTAGTGCAATGTTTTTCAAACTTTTGGCAACTTTAAGATATGTGGACTTCAACTCCCAGAATTGCTGGCTGGGGAATTCTGGGAGTTGAAGTCTACACATCTTGAAGTAGTTTGAAAAAC